ATGATATATTCAGGTGCTCAGAGTCAATTCTCATGAGGATTGACTGTATTCAGCCCTAGAACACAACAATGCATTTATGACAACAATTATTCAGTAATAATTCCTTCAATTTATGAATAAATCCAACAGACATATTGCGAGCATCATATTAGGTTTCCGACACATGGTATTTTTATCTGTACCTGCCCTGAATTTTATAACTTGGCCTCCAGCAGCTGAGGGTATGTTTTAAGAATTTTTGTGGAAGGAGAGGACATTGGCACATGTTTATAACATAAACATGTCAGGCCTGTGTATGAAACGTGTCCCTGCACTATGGAAATGACAGTTGGAGGTTGATTCGTTTTAATGGAAGCAAAAAAATTGTCTTACTGGCACACTTTTCACAAGAACTTTAGTGCCCAGGACCAAAAAGGAGCAGGATGTTATTCCTGCTACAATCCTGAACCTTGGTAGGGCACCCAGAAACAATTAGACCATGGAAAATACATTTTGACCTTAAATATACAGTAATTATTATTATACAGGATTTATATAGTGCCAACAGTTTGCATAGTGCTTTACAATATAAATGGAGACAGTACAGTTACAGTAGAATAAAATACAAGAGAGTTAAGAGGGCCCTACTCATAGGAACTTACAATCTAATAGGGTAGGGCAAGTGGTAAAAAGGGTTATAACTATGGATGAGCTGATGGAAGTAATAAAAGTTAAGTCGGAGGCATGATAGGCTTCCCTAAAGAGACCAGTTTTCAGAGATCGCCTAAAGGCAGCCAGAGTAGGAGATAACTGGACAGATTGAAGTAGAGAGTTCTAGAGGATGGGAGAGGCTCTGGAGAAGTCCTGCACACACGCATGGGAGGAGGAGACAAAGGAGATTGAGAGCAGGAGGTTTTGAGAGGCGATAAGAGGACGGACGGTTTGGGTGATATTTGGAGACAAGATTGGTGATGTAGTTCAGGGCAGAGTTTTGAATGGCTTTGTATGTTGTTAGTATTTTGAATTTAATTTGCTGGCAATCAGAAGCCAGTGGAGGGATTGGCAGAGGGGGTGGCAGACACTGAGTGCCTGGTAAGGTAGATGAGTCTGGCAGCAGCATTCATGATAGACTGAAGAGGGGATAGTCTATGGAGCGGTAGGCCCAATAGTCAAGGTGAGAGACAACAAGGGAGTGAATGAGTAGCTGGGTGGTTTCATTAGTTAAAGAGGGGCGAATGTTAGAGATGTTACGGAGGTGAAGTCTTTGAGCTTTTGGCAGCTATTGGATTTGGGCCCAAAAGGATAGGCCAGAGTCTAGATTACACCTCGTACACTGGCGTGAGGGGAGGAACTGATAGTTATATAATTGATCTTGATGGAAATGTCATGGAGGGAGTTAAGAGGGAGAGCGGGGGATATTATCAGCTTGGTTTTAGAGAGATTTAGTTTAAGGAAGTGGTGTGACATTTATGCTCCTTTAACACCCTCCCACCCAGCCCCAGAGTCCCTTTAACTGGGCTAATATTCCCAGGGTGAGTTAGAAGGTTTGTGTTATCACATAATCACTGTGATTGGCTGTCGTAGTGGTCACATGATTGGAAGCAAGTCGCACTGGCAGCCAATCATTCCTGTCTTCTACAACTCAACCTTTGTGCTGGGAGCACGTAGTGAGCACGCTCTCGGCCATCTATGGTCATATAGATACGGTGTGTGGGCATTAACGTCCATCCTCTTTACCGCACATAGGCGTTACTTGGGCAGCGAGAGGTGAATGCATAGTCCTTTCAAAGGTCTTTTGCAGCATTTTTATATTAAATTAATAGCTGTTGCTCCTGCCATAAAGGTTCTTGTTCAAGCACTTCTTAGTGTAGGGACTCTAGTCTATCCCTAGTCTACATTTAATGCATGCAGCTAGGTTGTTGCCAGCCTAAGCTTTTTATGTTTTCTGGGTTTAATAGGTTTTTCCTAAGCCCATGGCCATTATTTGCTTTTGCCTGCTACTAGTGTGTGTTCTGCAGTAGATAGAGTGAGAAGATACATCAGAAATCGCATCAGTGTGAACCAGGGCTGATATAGTTATCCCAATGTTGTGGGCTGGGGAAGCAGATAAATATTTAGAGAGCTTCTAGATGAGTCTTTGCCTCCCTGGCTTTGCCTGGAGTGGATTTGAGTCCAGAGGTTCTTGCCTCCCAGGCTTTGTCTGATGAGGCTGTATGTTTAGCAGGGTACTGGGTCCTTCCTTCCTTGACCCAGTGTAAGAAGGTCTTTTCTGGAGGCCTGAGCCTGGTCCTAAAAAAAATCTAAGCTGGCCTGTGCTGTTAGTGCACAGCTTTCAAGAGCCGATCGCAGCAGTTCATGTGAAATTATTCCGAGACAAGCACAACATTTTTTTTTCGCACGATACCAAAATGAGCGATTTTTCATTTAATCAGTACAGTATTCATCTGAAAAAAAATCAGAAGACCAAGACCACGCATGCTCAGAAACAAGTGAATACAATACAGTACAACACATTAAAGTGGTAGTAAACTCAGATAAAAAAAAAAAAAAAAAAAAAAAAAAATTTAAAATCCTCAGCAAGGCAATGTTTTAAAGTGTTACTAAACCCACAACAGTCAAATCAGTCTGTATATGCAGTAAAGCATGCTTGTTATACTCACTGTGGAATCTAAGGGGTTAATCCTCTGCATTGTGTAAAAAGGCAGTTTGAGCCTTTCTTCTCTGTTCCTCCCCTTTTTCAAGCAACCACCTCTTATCTTTGATAAGACAGACTGAACCGTAGGCATTTGCACATGCTCAGTTTAGTGTGTATTGCTAGAGAGGTTTTTTTTTTCTTGGGAGAGTGCATGTGATCAGCACAGGGCCAATCAACACTGTCCAGACAGAAGTCAGGGGTTCTGCATCCTCCTAGAGCAGAAAGAAAACTGCTCCTATAAGCTTTAGCTAGTGTTGAGCTGGGCACTGATAGAAGTGTCACAAGACTGCTCTAACGTCTGATAAGAAAAGGTATTTAGCAGTTTATATTTACTAAAATAATTGCATTTCCATGTTGTATGTACTGTGGGAGACCAGATATAGTGGATGCAGGGTCCTGGGTTTAGTAACACTTTAATGTGCTAGAAATAAGGAATTGTGAATACTCCAATGAAAAAATAAAAAGGACGATATAACGAATAACAAATGAAAGTATGTAAGTCCTGTAAGGCTCGGTCTATGAGCTTGCCCTCTAGGAGGAACCCCTTTCCTTGGTTCACCGTGGGCTGGAGATGGAGACTTGGCTACTCTACTTTTGATTGTTCATTTGGTATATCACTGGCTTCTGGAGAGATCCCACCTTCAATCGGGTCACCGGCAGGAGGAACAAGCAGGAACACCCCTTAGTATCATTCCGCTCTGGGCTTGCTTGCTACTTACTTCTGGTGAGTGCATTATGGTGGAGGTGCAGTGCGGAAGTCATAGAAGTCGCTACATTTTGTTGATTTGATCACATCACAATTTTTGGGACTATTAAAATATTTAGAGGACTTACCGTATTTTTCGCTCCATAAGACGCACTTTTTTCACCCAAAAAAAGGGGGGGAAATGTCTGTGCGTCTTATGGAGCGAATATGGAGCGGCCGGTCCGGTATTTCCACCGCCGCCGTGTCAGAATACCGGGCCGGCCGCTCAGCTCTGCAGTGGGACCTTACCTGTTCCTCTATTCAGCGGCGCGTTGTCTTCCCGGCTTCTGTAGTGTGCGTGCCAGCCGGATCCCAAGTGCGCATGAGCAAGAAGCAGTGCTCTTTGTGAATGGTAAGGCGGTACCTGGGACACCTGACAGATCCCAGAAGCCGCCGAACCAATCACAAAGCGCAGCGCTTCTCGCGCATGCGCACTGGGCATCCGGCTGTCCGCCGAGCGCCCACACTACAGAAGCCGGGAAGCTGGATAGAGGAACAGGTAAGATCAAAGAACAACTCCGCGGATGTGGGAGCGGGTACCTGTCAAATTCAGGTACCTGCTCCCCCCCCTCCCCAAAGGTCAGCAGTCATCTCCTGTACTATCCGTCCACAGTCTCTGGTCATCTCCTGTACTATGTCCGCAGTCTCTGGTCATCTCCTGTACTATGTCCGCAGTCTCTGGTCATCTCCTGTACTATGTCCGCAGTCTCTGGTCATCTCCTGTACTGTGTCCGCAGTCTCTGGTCATCTCCTGTACTGTGTCCGCAGTCTCTGGTCATCTCCTGTACTATGTCCGCAGTCTCTGGTCATCTACTGTACTGTGTCCGCAGTCTCTGGTCATCCCTGTACTGTGTCCGCAGTCTCTGGTCATCTACTGTACTGTGTCCGCAGTCTCTGGTCATCTACTGTACTGTGTCCGCAGTCTCTGGTCATCTCCTGTACTGTGTCCGCAGTCTCTGGTCATCTCCTGTAGTGTGTGTCCGCAGTCTCTGGTCATCTCCTCTACTATGTCCGCAGTCTCTGGTCATCTCCCTGTACTATGTCTGCAGTCCATTAGTTCACAATTTTTTTTTCCTGTTTTCTGCCTCTAAAACCTAGGTGCGTCCTATGGTCAGGTGCGTCTTATGGAGCGAAAAATACGGTATATACTTTCATTTGTTATTTTTTATACCGTCCATTTTGTTTTTTCATTGGAGTATTCACAATTCCTTATTTCTTTTTTCTGATGTTTCCTTTCTTTTCTACAAACCCACTGGTCATCATTGATTATAAGGACACATTTTTATTAGCGCTGCACATTGAAACAGAAACAGATGATCATTCAATCTCATCGTGTGCACAAGGCTACATATTCCTTTCAGACTTTTTCCATTATTCAGACCTTGCTTTTTTGAATTGCTTCTATGATTTGCACCTCTCATGTTAGTTATACATGGACAAGCTGCTTGGCGTGTATTTTTATTCATGGCAGTGCCACCACACATGTAGTAGGAAATTCTGGATGATTCTGCAATGCACAACCGATTCCCCCTCCGCATCATCATTCACATTTTTTACTCTATGTTTATCTGTTTACACCAGCTTTGGCAAGAAAACCGTCCAGACTACATGAATATCCGGCTGTACCTCAGTGAGGTGGAAGGGATGCAGGTAAGATGCCGAAAGTCATTTGGTTATGTTTTGTGAACATGCTTAAAGGATACGGTCACTTGTATTTGTGTATTTAAAGTGGAACTACACTGCGTCTGAGCACCACAAACCAAAAGCGCTATTTCATTTATTTTTAATATTCGAAGCAAACTAATCCATCCATTTCTCCATGCTTTATTTTACAGAGAAATCAGTTTGAACCCCCCCAGCACTTCTGTCTATGGCCTTCTTGAGGAAGGGCACATGATTCATGTAGCAATTACTTCTTGGATACCATCTGCCCTTAGCTCAGGCATGCAGTTTGGAGGGTGTGCTTAACTGAGAAAACCCCTCCTCCCCTCCTGAAAACTCCTGGAATGTATGACATCATTTGCCTAGGCCTGGAAACCAGGAAGCAACTAAAGAAATGTAAAAAAAACTGTTTATAAACAAGTAAATATGATATACTTTCCAATTTAATAATGCTAGCAGCAGAATAATTCAAAATAGTCATTGTTACTGAATTTCCACTTTAAGTATGGCAGACAAGATTGATCATAGTCATTATGTTATAAATACAATGTGAAACCAGATTAAAAACCCTTCAAACCTACACTAATTCCAAATTGGAAAAAAACTTTCAACCCTTGAAAGTTAATAATCAAATAAATTAATCCAAAAAAAGAATCTTCCCTCTTTTATCAACTACCTATACGTGCAACCACAAAAATATCCCCATATGATTCTAAACGTGAACCAACAGAAAGTCATAAAGTCCAAAGTCCCAATAATCAAAACAAAATCATAAAGTCCAGTGTCTCAATAATCAAAGTGATAGAACCAAAAAAATGTAAATCTTGCAGCGTTGATTGTGTTCAGTGAATTATGTGAAAAACCTCAAAGAAACTCACAATAGTGCATTACCATAATAAAATCAGAAAAAAAAAAAAAAAATATATATAATATATATATATATTATTTACATGCACACACAAATGTGTATCATAAAGTTGTGCAACACTAAGTGATAGTGAAACACTTGTGAAAACCTTCCAAACAATTAATAAAATACTCGTGCTCAAAAAAACTCTGAAATCCTGAAGTGAAACACTCAGTGAAATAGCTATCCACACGTGACACTTCTAGTGAGTAAGGCAAATATACCCTTACCAACCGTAGAGAAAAATCACGCCTTTATAATATAATTAGTAGAAATCCTCCAAAAGAACTTTCTCCTCCTCTCCTCCTTCACTTATTGTCAGGGTGATGTTATAATGCCATCCACTTTCCCAGGTCTATGATCATGGTTTTACCAGGCTCCAGTATAATAAAATTAGCCATGATAACCTCCATGTATTCAAAGTAACATTTTATTAAGTCTTCTTACATAAAAGTATGCGATTGAGAAGAAAACCCCACTTAATGGGGATTACCAGGCAGTTCTCCCCAGTTTTCCAGGCAGATTTGGATAGATTTGGTACCTGATCCCCGGACCCCGCACAGCAGCACCTTCTCTCTCACGTGAGAGAGAAGGTGCTGCTGTGCGGGGTCCGGGGATCAGGTACCAAATCTATCCAAATCTGCCTGGAAAACTGGGAGAACTGCCTGGTAATCCCCATTAAGTGGGGTTTTCTTCTCAATCGCATACTTTTATGTAAGAAGACTTAATAAAATGTTACTTTGAATACATGGAGGTATATCATGGCTAATTTTATTATACTGGAGCCTGGTAAAACCATGATCATAGACCTGGGAAAGTGGATGGCATTATAACATCACCCTGACAATAAGTGAAGGAGGAGAGGAGGAGAAAGTTCTTTTGGAGGATTTCTACTAATTATATTATAAAGGCGTGATTTTTCTCTACGGTTGGTAAGGGTATATTTGCCTTACTCACTAGAAGTGTCACGTGTGGATAGCTATTTCACTGAGTGTTTCACTTCAGGATTTCAGAGTTTTTTTGAGCACGAGTATTTTATTAATTGTTTGGAAGGTTTTCACAAGTGTTTCACTATCACTTAGTGTTGCACAACTTTATGATACACATTTGTTGTGTGCATGTAAGCTTATATATAAATTTTTTTTTTTTTTTTTTTTTCTGATTTTATTATGGTAATGCACTATTGTGAGTTTCTTTTTCTTTGAGGTTTTTCACATAATTCACTGAACACAATCAACGCTGCAAGATTTACATTTTTTTGGTTCTATCACTTTGATTATTGAGACACTGGACTTTATGATTTTGTTTTGATTATTGGGACTTTGGACTTTATGACTTTCTGTTGGTTCACGTTTAGAATCATATGGGGATATTTTTGTGGTTGCACGTATAGGTACTTTTTTTGGATTAATTTGATAATCATATGTTAGCTTATTAAAGACCAACTCCAGACAAATTTTTTATAGAATGAATAGGATAGGGATTAAACCTCTGTCAGGTTTTTACTATACTAAAACATGGCAACCGTCCCAAGCTATAACCAGCCTTAGAAGCAAGGTCTTCATGGAAGGGCAGTGCACATCACAAACAAAGGATTTCCCAGCCACACTTACCAGCCAACCTGCAAAACATCCAAATTTTCCCTGTCTAACAGTATGCATTAAAAACAGAGGGTTTTGTTTGCACACATTTGCAAATACATGCGTAAGCCGCAGTCCCACGTCAAGGGGCCTCTGTATACTGTGGTCCTAACTCTAAAATTTCCAGAGTCTCCAAGTTGGAGCACATGTATCAATGGATAGGCATGTGTGCCTGGAGGAGCCCATCCTTGCTTAACCTCTTCCTGTCCAGCCCATGTCGATAAACGGCCGGACAGGAGCGCTGCCGATGCGGGTGGACGTTTCAAATTGTCCTCCCGCATTCATTGACTGTGCGTACTCCCTGGAAGCACGCAGCACCGCGATCGGTGATCGGTGCCCTCTGTGTCCTCCAGACACAGTGGAACACGGATCGCTGTACGGGACCTCTGTGTGAGTCCCAATCAGTGATCACATGAACAGTAGAAAACAAGATGTTACTTCCTGACATCATTGCTTACTACTTGTGAAATCTGTGAATGATCACCGAGGTTACATGGTACAAGGCAGTGGTGTATTTAGGTTTTGTGCTGCCCTAGGCAACACAAAAATCGTCTGCCCCCACGGACACTGACCAACACCCCCCCCTTCCCCCTCCCATGGAGAGAGCCTGACATTGACCAACAACACCCTTGCCCCCCATCTAGGAGAGCCTTCCACTGCCCCCCCCCCCCCTTCCCGGTGATAGAAAGAAAGACACCCGTCTTCACAACTCCCCAGAAAAGTGAGTCAGGCTCTACATACACCATCAAGCAGCCCGCAGCCTCTCTTGGATCCCACCTGGTTCCCATGGCACGCGCGTCCCTTCTTCCATCCCTTCTTCTGGGGAGAGGTGCTGCCCCCCTGAAAAAAATGCCGCCCTAGGCAAGTGCCTTGTTTGCCTTGTGGTAAATACGCCCCTGGTACAAGGCTATTCACAACAGCCTTGTACCATGTGACAAGCTGTGACCAATCACAACTCGCATAGTATTTCTCAATGGCTGCAAGAATGCAGCCAGAGTGAAGGAGAAATGATTGATTGTACAGCCTTTATGGGTATAAAAGGAATCAGTGTAAAAAAAGAAAAACAAATCTTCATCACCCCCCACAAGTAGTACAGTGTCACTATGGTGACACTGTACTGCTAAGGTGACAGTATATTAAGAAATAATTTTTGGTTATAAACTAATTTGGGTTATTTGTTTTACTAAAAAGATAGATGAATACATTTTGGCCAAGATTTATGAAGAAAGATTATTTTAAAACTTTTATAAGAAAAGCACTTTTTTTCAAAACTTTTTGCCTTTTTCATTTATGTAGCAAGATAATAAAAATCCCAGTGGTGAATAAATACCACCAAAATAAATTTTTATGTCTCCAAAATAATGCCAAAAAATTCATATGGGTACAGTGTTGCATGACCGCACAATTGTCATTCAAAGTGTGATAGCACTGAAAACTGAAAATTGGCCTCGACAGGAAGGGAGTGAAAGTGTCCGGACTTGAAGTGGTTAAAGGCAACAGGGATTCACTTGACATCCAGCTATAGCAAAATGACAGCAAAGGCATCCAGTGTGTCTCTGCATCCAATTCAGCCAACTGTACAAAAAATGGCAAACATTCCAACCTATAACCGGGTTTACACTGTAGTCTGTGTCCCCCTTTGAAGAAATTACCCGGATTTCCTGTACGGACAGGAAGTACTAGGAAACAGTTGGGACACAGACTGCAGCAAAACAACTTTGTTTTATAAGGTGAAGCTATAGAACGTCTGCCAGGTTATCAGGCTATTGTTATTTCTGAGGCATTTCTGTCCCAGTGACAACTATGACCCCAATTTCTTCTCCCGGTGTCACAGACTACCAGAAGAATAGGAAGTGGGGTGGACTATCCCTAACAGGGACCGAGACAACAATAAAGATATGACAGAAATATTTACTTTCCTAAGTCTATCCAAAACTTAGAAAAAGAAAACTTTGGCTGGAGTTGGTGTTTAAGGCTTGGTTCACATATATGTATTTTATGTTTGATGCTTTTTGCAGTTTGTTTTGCATTTTTCTACATGCATTTTTGATGCATTTTGTTCAGATTTTTTTTTCTGGAATGCTGCTTTTTGCTCTTAAAAAAGTCCCTAACCCTTTCCAAAAAATGCAGCAGCTCAAAAAAGAATAGATGTAAATATGTTCCACAGGACACCATATTAAATGGACTGTAGTCCGTTTCTGCAAAAAACCCTAAAAAAAACGCATTGGTGTGAATGGAGCCTTAGGGGCATTTTTATAAAGCAGTGAATGTGACAATCACCAGACATTTACTGGTGGTGAATTAGTCAGTTACTTTTAAAGAATACATTTTGTGGATATTTTATACATAATTAAATTGGTCCAACTTGGACCAATGTAGCTATGTGTATACCGTACCTGGCCGATGACCCTGCAAGCTGGAGACCACTGCATACAGACACCGATACTCCAGTGATCTGCACTTGCTTCTGGGTCCCACACTGAGTGGCTGCCCTGCATCATTCTGAACACAGGAGGTTGACCACTCTGAACAGGCATCATTTAGAAAATTCTTTGCATTTTCTGAACAAATGAAAAAACATTCTCTGATTGGACAAGGTGGAGAGTGTGACATCACCGCTCCACCTCATCCAATCAGAGGACACTTTGCAATTTTTTTTAAAAATGGAGAGCATTCTCTGAAGGGCACCTGTGCTGAACGGAAGACATCCTTTGTTCAGTTAAAGGGAAGCTCAACCCAAAAGGGGCAGTTCTGCTTTAAGGCCTTGACCCTGACAGGCATCTGCTCCCACTACTGCTGCAATCACCTAGGTGATCAAAAGCGGACGTTGTCCTCCCCTTCCATCCCTGTAGCCTTCTTTGACATGTGACAGGTCCCAGAAGACTACCGGACCATTCACAAGGTGCAGTGCTACACGTGAATGTGCTGTGGGCACCCGGCTGTGAAGCCGCAAGTTGTCACAGCCAGATGCCCACACTTAAGATGCCAGCGCCGGGGAGAGAGGACGTCCAGTGAAACCAGCTGCAGTGAGTACACCGTGGGATCGTGGGACAGGTGAGTGTCTATTTTTTAAAAGTCAGTAACTACAGTTTTTGTAGCTGCTGAATTTTATTTTTTTACATTTTGACTGGAGCTTCGCTTTAAGTTGACCATACTTAAATCGAGATTTGACTGGGTCAGCATGGAGTGGACAAATTTTGATCCGTATATATGGGCAGAGAGGTTTTACAGAAATGGATCGGTAGATTGCACAAAGCAGGTAAGTATAACATATTTGTTATTTTAAGAAACAAAAAACCCTTCACAACCATTTTAAACCTTTCTGTAATACATTTAGGAAGAAAAAATTTAAATATGACGTGATTCTTTGGTCCCCTGAAAACAAACAAGACAGGCACTCTTTTCCTTCCTTCAGAATTCCGAGTGTTATATGTGGTTACACCCCTTTATCACCTGATGGATAAATGCATGTATTAGCTATTGGGATTTGAGCACAGGTATGTCTTGTTTGTTGTATGGTGGGTCAGTAGCCAGACCTAAACCTAATAGTTCTCCCCCACTTTGTCTTTTCCCCTATATTGGCATTGTGTCGACACTAACATTGGCGTAGGCAGAGCAGAGTAGGACTGGCCATTGCGGGGTTACTTTGACGCAGTTGGCCAGACTAACCATGTATTGCAATATGTGTGAACTAAATATCCCTATTCTGTATTGCAAAGTTTGCTGGAAAGGGTATATACCAGTGTGCAGAGGGTTCCTTCGGAATTTCTGGTGGTCCCCTGAAAAGTTCCACATTTCAGCCTTTTGTCTTTGTTTACATGGGCTACTATTTTTTTAACAGCTCTGAAAAGTGATCCGTGGTTGACCTTCTTTCAGAGTTAGTTGGCAGGCCACTCGGAGGCAATGAATAAAAATAGCAGAGGGCACAATCTGAGTGTAGTTAGTAAGATACATTTATTCATAAAAATATTTTTTTTAATAAATATATCTACCTAACTTACTAAACTCAGATCGCACCCTCTGTATTTTTAACTTGTACTCTTAGAGGTTATTCACCCTCATAGAGGTGCTGCATAAAGTGTTTGGAGATCAGCAAGAATTCACCCTGAAGTTTCCATTTGAGGACTTGACACCAGGGGCGGACTGACAACTCATGGGGCCCCCGGCTGTAGGGGATCATGGGGCCCCTGTGTCCTCGCCCGCAGTCAAATCACACCCAAAAAAGCCTATGAAAGGTACCAGGGGCATCTTATGGGGCCCCCTACTGACCCCGGGCCCTCGGGCAGTGCCCAAGTGCCCGAAATGGTCAGTCTGCCCCTGCTTGACACTTTTCCTGCTGAACTCTATGCATAAACAATCTATACATGATGTATACACATCAGCCAATTCTATACTTGTGTGCCATAACCACTATCTATCACTCGGAGGCGATATGCTGCATCCGGGATGCCATGATTTTCTTTTTGTGGAAGTCTCACTGTGCTGCAATCAAGTGCATTAGCCACAGTTGCATCGTGGTTTTCGGTGTAGTCCCAGTCACTTGAATGGGGACCATTTGGTGGCAGTAACTCCTTCCAGAAGCAACATGCCGTAAATATTTGCCACAATGCAACCAATGTGCAACGACTTATCCACCAGCAATGTCAACTGTAGGTGGCCATGTGAATGAGGCCTTTACGTATTTTAAAATTTTTTAGAAATGCGTAAAACCTTCCATCCAGTTGTAAAAAACCATCAAACGATCATTGAACTAATTGTCATTTTTCTAAACACGCCCCTGTATGTTGCTGATCGGCAGTGTGCCTCTGTATAAGAAAAGAAGATGACTTCTGGTAGGCCAAGTTCAGGATTTGTATTAAATCATCTTTTAGTTCACATCAGTATTCTTGAGCTCCGCCCGGCACGCTACCCAAGTCATTATTAGCTGTTGACTCCCCCACTGCGCTTACACTTTGTAAAGATGGATGCACGTGCTCGGCAGTGATACAATAGATGCTGTTATCAAAGCATTACACAATGTGTAATCCCCTCGTTCACAAATTCTTACGGAAACCCACTGTGCCATTTCTTGCAGAAAATAATTGGTGAAAAATACCAGGCTTTGAACTCCCGTCTTATTACTGGACGCCCGCGCTGGAAACTTTTGTTTGATGAGATAGCCAAATCTAACAGACAGTAAGTACCGTCTGAAGGTAGGAGTAATCAGGAGAGATGGGAATAGCCACGTGTTTTAGGCCATCCTAATAGCTATTTGTTTGCAGCCTTGCAAAGGCTTTATCTAATAAACCAAAAGCTGGAGCTGGTAATGTCACATGTAATTCCCTATGTAATGTTTTCCTGGCTTTCACAAGAACACGGCCGTCACAAATCCTTTTTCAGTTTGTGAAGCCGAAGGGGCTCATCTTCCAGAATAAAAAAAAGCTTACGTCTGGATTAAAATGTGAAATATTATGCTGAATGCGGTTGTATAAATAAGTGAAGCATAAAGCATTTCTTGCAGCAGAATCACTTGATCATTGCTTTGGGTAAAGGGGACTCTATTTTTCCTTATAGCCAGTCCAGCTGTTTTTACATATTTTGCAGACAGATGAAGCATAAAATTAACAAAAGCTAATAGCTCACAGATGAAATAAAAAGTATAGTTAAAGGGTAAATCCACTTTCACACCAGGGGAAAAAAAAATAGCAATAAATAAATTTAAAAAAAAAACAAACCAAAAAACAAAATATCAAACCTCCGGAGGCGGAAGAGGGGAAAGTTGTCCCATCCAGGCTTTCTTCCAACTGAACACCTCCAAGACCCTCCCACGTCTCCAGCTCCCAAAGCCCCACCTGCTCCATTCCTTCTACCAATCTGATGAGTACCCTAACCTGTTTCCATTTATTCCCACAGTGACTCCTCCTTTGCCCAAACCCCTTTTAACCCACTCATGTTGGCCCTTCATCTATGTGTCAACGATATAAGGTCAGGTTCAGAGACCAGTTGCTATAGCAGTAAAAGGCTTACCTGAAACCAGCAGTATAGGTACACCAGCGGATCCCCCTGGGAAGGACGCAGGCTCACCTGACGTGCGGGGTCTAAGTATTAACCGGTATTCACCAGAGCTCCTAATGGTGGAGATGGATTGGGCTGCGTGTTAATACCAGGTTGCAGATCTCAGGATCACCCCACCAGGGAATGAGCAGACTGGGAACCAATAGCGGATAACAGGTTAGGGATCAGACGAAAGCAGAGTCAGTCACAAGCCAAGGGTCGGTCACAAATGGTAGCAGATCAATCGTAGTACGTTAGGATGAGACAAAATCGTCGTGGTCAGGAACAAGCCAAAGGTCAGTAGCGGAGGTGTAGACAGCAGCAGGAACAGTAGCGGGATATTGGCTGGAAAGGCACAATAATCTGGCAAGGAGGAAGTGCATGGACATGGCTTTTATAAGGAAGTTCATGGGAGGAGCAAGGAGTTCAAGGTTCAAGAGTAATCAAGGCATAAGGCAGGATTATCCAAGAATTGTCAAGGGAGCTGTCCAGCATTCCAGATAGCTCAGTGAGAATTGACATTGCCTCTCACTGCAGAAGGACCAGGTTCAATCCCAGGCTCTGACACTATGCTTCTTCTTTTTCTTTACTCCAGGCCTGACTTACTCTTTAAAAAAAAAAAAAAAAGTTAAATGTCCATTACCCAGTATAAGGAAAATAAAAATGCAGATTTTGCTACAATACAGGCCTCTTCTCTGCTGATCTTCCCACTTTCTGTGAGGCAAAAACACCCCTTGGGGGTGTATCATCATGGCGATCTTTGTGCCTCATTTGGAGTAGGGTTTAAAACAGAGTGACGAATGTGTTCAGTTTGGGATTCCTTGATTTTGAAGAAGGACAATTGTTTTTTTTTATTTATTTACAGACAGGTAGATACACACAAGATGAAGGCTAGCTAAAGTGAAGGGATAGGCAAAAGGAATATGGGTGCAAATAGGAAAAATATGGAAACTACCCAGATAAACTCACTTTTAATTTATCCACAAACATGGGCTCTGTCTATGTATCCAGGTGAATTATACATAATTTTTTTTCAGGCCAAATTGGACTTTCTTTTGGTGGCAAATGGTAATGTGTGTGTGTATGGGGGGGGGGGGTGTCAGGACAAGCTTGATCATCGGAGGAGGGCAGGCTGAGTTCTCAGCACAGCTAGAAAACTGATCATGCTGCACTCTCATGCCTAGTGTGGTCAGTTTTTGATAGGAAAGCAGAGGGACAGGCAGAAACCCCAGGGATATCACACAAAGGGAGCAATACAAAGAGAACAGCATACTTTTTTCATACAAGTACATTGTACAGCAGGCACATATCAGCAATATGAAATGTTGGGTTCACATATTCTTCATGAAGGTTCAACATTGTGCTTGGTGTTGTGATGCAAATAATTGTAGTATTGGTATAGTTACTCTTTACACCCTGTTCCAAATTATTATGCAAATTCTATTTAAGTGTCACAAAGATTAAATATTTTGTTTTTCAGTTTAACTCATGGATGGCATTGTGTGTCAGGGCTCTTTTGATCACTGAAAACAATCTCGGACACCTGTGATAATTAGATTGGCCGGTGAGCCCAATTTAAGGAAAAACTACTAAAGGAGGGTGTTCCACATTATTAAGCAGAACACCATTTTCAAGCAATATGGGGAAAAAAAGGATCTCTCTGCTGCCAAAAAGAGTGAAACAGTTCAATGCCTTGGACGAGGTATGAAAACATTCGATATTTCACGAAAACTTAAGCGTGATCCTCGCACTATTAAGAGATTTGTGGCTGATTCAGAGCACAGACGGGTTCGTGCAGATAAAGGCACATTGAGGAATATTTCTGCCAGATCCATGCATCGGATCAAGAGAGCAGCTGCTAAAATACCATTACATAGCAGCAAACAGATATTTGAAGCTGCTGGTGCCTCTGGAGTCCCACGGACATCAAGGTGTAGAGTCCTTTAGGGTCTTGCAACTGTGATAAACCTTCTATTCGGCCACCAATAACCAATGCTTACAAGCAGAAATGGCTGCATTGGGCAGAAAAATACATGAAGACTAATTTTCAAATAGTCCTGTTCACTGATGAGTGCCGTGCAACCCTGGATGGTCCAGATGGATTGAGTAGTGGATGGTTGGTGGATGGCCACCCTGTTCCAACAAGGCTGCGACGTCAGCAAGGCTGTGGTGGAGTCATGTTTTGGGCTGGAATCATGGGAACAGAGCTGGTCGGCCCCTTTAGGGTCCCCGAAGGTGTAAAGATGACCTCTGCAAAGTATGTGGAGTTTATGACTGACCACTTTCTTATATATCATCAGCCACACCCCTCTGGGGGATGGACCACAGAGACCTGAAGGCATAAAAGGATTCCCACCATGCACAGCAGAATCCAAGATGGACGCCAGCACATGGAGTAACATAACCTCAGGGAAAAGGTAGGACCTTGACAATGACTGACCACTTTCTTCCCTGGTACAGAAGGAAGAACTATGCTTTCCGTAATAAAATCATCTTCATGGATGAAAATGCACCATCTCATGCTGCAAAGAATACCTCTGCATCAATGGCTGTTATGGGGATAAAAGAAGAGAAAGTCATGGTGTGGCCTCCATCCTCCCCTGACCTCAATCCTATTGAGAACCTTTGTAGCATCCTCAAGCAAAAGATCTATGAGGTGGGAGGCAGTTTACATTCAAACAGCAGCTCTGGGAGGCTATTCTGACAGCTTGCAAACACATTCAAGCAGAAACTGTCCAAAAACTCACAAGTTCAATGGATGCAAGACTTGTGAAGCTGCTATCAAATAAGAGGTCCTATGTTACAATGTAACGTGACCTGTCAAAATGTTTAAAAAGTTAAAATGTTGTTAAAAGTTTGATTGAAATAGCTTTTGATTTCAGTAAATATGCTGCAAACACAACAAATGACAATTTTCAGTTCTTTACAACCTATAAAGTGTTTTGAAACTTACTGTGCGGAATAATTTGGAACAGTGCATTGGAAGTTTTTTTCATGTTTAAATAAAATACTGTTATCATTAGGAAGTTTGTTCAATAAAATGTAATTGTACTCTTAATAGTTGATAACATGAGAATTATGCTGACTGTTATCTGTTATTTACATCAATTATTTAGGTAAATGAGAAAAATATCAATTTGCATAATAATTTGGAACAGAGTGTAGTTGTCCATCCCAACCCCAAGCCTCACACTTGCCTGTCCCTGCTTCTCTAAAATGTTTTCTGGGGCCATGGAAACTTGCTTCTTTGCACAATTTCTAATCCTATGGAAAATCCATCTGTCTTTCACTCTTATGTTGAATGGCCTTTCTTAAGAGTGATTGTGGAATGCATGTACAGAAGAAATGGAGCCAAGAGACTTCTGGAGGCTGCAAGGCTTATCCAAACAGGAAAGACTTGGGGTAGAGGTTAGAAAAACAGGGGCTGTACTGAAAGGAATGCTAAAGTGGGCATAACATTTTTTTTTCCTAAATAGGCCATTCAAATTTCTCATGTTGGTAGACAGAAACAATTGAGTACTGCCCTGATACTTTTTTATTTGCACTAGCATATGTATTTTTCAGGAGTGTACCCCCTTCTTTTAATGCAATAAATGTAGAAAGGATCTTATGTTGGTGGAAAAGGACAGAAGATACAAACAAGGATGAATTTGCACAGACACACCATCAAGGAGCATAAATAAGATAGTTTTTGCACACCTGTGGGACATCACGTCTCTCAACTGGACCACACTATGGAAGACCTCAATGTCTAAAGCCCTGTATACACGATCAGAAAATCGTATGAAAAATGACGCTTTCAAAGCAGTTGTACAATAATCTGATCACGAGTACACGGCAATCGTATGAAATTACTCAAAGGGACAAGCACAAAAAATGTTGTACTATACCAGATTGTACAATTTTCGTTTAACCACTTGCCCTCCAGAGGATTTACCCCCCTTCCTGACCCGGCCATTTTTTGCGATACGGAGCTGCGTTACTTTAACTGACAATTGCGCGGTCATACAGTGCTGCACCCAAATTAAATTTATGTCCTTTTTTTCTCCACAAATAGAGCTTTTTTGGTGGTATTTGATTGCCTCTGCGTTTTTTATTTTTTGCGCTATAAACAACAATTTAAAAAAAAACTATTTTTTTTA